TCTGACCCGCTCTTTATAACAAAGTAAAGAATACAATAATATGAAGTCTGTAGATTGCTCTTTGCTCAGCCCAAGCTTCAATTTTGCCGCAGGTCCCTTGTGGCACAAGATGGTAGTTAAATTTTCTCACTATCATATAAAAAGACCTCATATTTCCACTCAATTTTACATATCCTTCCTTCACAAAAAGTAAGATACGATGGAAAAATGAGGCATACTAATTTGATTGCGGGAAAATTCAACTAAAATTCCTTCATCATCTTACGCGAACAAGAGTAGAATCAGCTATTATTCATGATCTATTGGTGCTCTTGAAATATAATTAATAGGAATATAGAGTGTATAAGCTTCAGCAAAGTGACATGACTCTTTATGCCGTATGACATCGGCAGGAAGGTGAAGACTTTTTGATTGAGCCAACGATAAACTACAGAATTCATGTTGTTGGGTTTTCCTGTTTTTTTTCTCAAAAGACGAATGAAGGGATTCGTAAATCTGCCTCGCCCGAAGCCGAGGGAGGATGACATTGGAGTGGTAACTGCAGATTTGGAATTTTCGTCTAGTACCTTCAGACGGACATTATGGAAGCCCATAACCTTTCCTCAGCTATGCTTAACCTGAATGCTGAACTCTGAGTGTAAGAATAGCGGGCTTTTCTACAACCTCATTCGATCGTGGGATCAACCCGATGATCTGCTCAACGTCGTCTGGCGTCAGACTTACCGCATGAGCTTTGATTGTTGATGCGGAAGAAACCATCACCACAGGAGCCCTTGTGTCGGCAACCCAACAGACCAATGCGCATGGAGACACGACCACGCCAGTTGATCGGATGAATTCGAATGTAGCGTGACACGAATGGTTTGGTCAAATAGTGAATGCGTTCTGGTACATTTTCCCGATTGCCCTCGAATATCTGAGGCATGTGTCGGACGTAAGGAGACGAGAACGAGGAAGGAGAAAAGAAACATAGAAAGGGTTGACAATGAAAATGGATTGTTAGCGCACCGGTTCTAATGGAGAGTCAGCTCATGCAACTACAATTTGGCGGATAATTAGTCGAGTCTCATAACCTAACATAAATACGGAAGCAAAAAATAAAGAAAAGCTGAAAATAAAATAAAAATAAGTCTATAATGGACTTTTCCAGATTGTTAATTAAGCATGCGCACCCAAAAGGGCGGTGTTGCGTTCACAGTAATTCAGGAATAAACATCTTTGCCCGAGATGCAGCCTACAAAGGCCAAACACACAATCGTGTGGAGAGTGGGCCAGACTGTAATCGTAGCAAACCAAGCTTTTAGTATATTTAGTTTTATAATTAGCGTTTCAAGACTACTAGTAAGTCACTTATATGAAACTTATTCACCCAATTTCGTTTAAGGTGATGAAGGACTGGCATTTCAATTTTCCCACAATCAAATGAGTAGAGCTGATATTTACATTGAATTTCACACATCCTCACTTTGCCAAGAACACCATTCGAGAAAACAAGTGTATAAGGAATTCAATGGAAACGTCGGCTCTACACATAAGATCGTGGGAAAAATGCAAATACCAGTTCTTCATCGCAGAAATGAAATAGAATGAATACATCTCATATAGCTTTTAGCAATTAGTACATTGGATTTCTTCTCAGGCTCTATTGCCTCGCTATTACAGATGATGCGAAATGAACACAACAAGGGAGACATTAAAAATAACGTTAACACGGCACAAAAACTATAGGACGTTCGAGTTTTTATGAGATTCAGGAGTGGTGTTCGCACTCAAGAGAGGGAAAAGGGGGAGACAGAGAAAAGGGCGTAGAAAGAATGAACGAGGATAAGAGGTGGAGGAGCAAGAAAAGGAGAGATAAAGAAGGATGAAGTGTAGGAATAGAGGAAGGAGAGATAAATAGTAATTAGAATGCCGAGGAGAGTCGAAGTTTGAGAGAAAGACACGCAATAAAGAAGTTTAGGACAATTAAGGTTAGAGGAAGAGGAGAGGGATGAGACGTAGGAGTATAAAGAGGCGCAAAGGAAATGAGAATTAAGAAAAAAGAAATGAGGAAAGAGAGATAGACAAGAAA